TAAAATGCTGTGTTAAATAAATGATCCAGTAAACAATTGCAATGTGTTGCCTTAAAAAATGATACAGTAGAATAAAATGAGGTAATTCAGTGGGGAAAAGGGAGAATGGCTCCATGAGCTTCTTTATAAATTATTTTTGGGAGATCTCTTACTAGTTGCACTTCTTGCAGATTAACCCAGTTTTGTTTTTGGTCACAAGCCCAATATTTAAAAGTATACTTGTTCATAGATAGACATCCATCTTTATTTTCCATTCTGCTAATCACATCTGAAAGCTCAACCTCTGTAATAAGAAGTCCTTTCTGCATCACTATCTAAAAAGCATTTCACTGGAAATACTGGTAGCATTTTCTGTTTTAAGACACAATTTGATCTGTATGTGTGTGTGTATATATATATATCCCTCTCTCTCCCTCTCTCTCTCTCCCCCCCCCCCAATAGTCTCAGTTAGAGACCCATCATGGCAAAATATCACATTGTTAAATTTCCTCCATCAAATTAAACCATTTAAAGATTCTGTTAAAATGTTGGCCTTTTAATTTAACACCAAAGAATATTTGTTAGCAACAACAAAATATTTTATTTTTATTTATTTATCTGCAATGCATTCTTGAATAATATTTTGTCTAAATTATGACTTTTAATTTTAATTAATATTTAATTTTCCAAGGTGTGCTTTTCAGTGGCAAGAATACCAAATAGAAAGACAACACATCATTGACTTGATGAATGAGACTGAAAAGAAATTATCTGAATTTTCTGTAGCTAAAACTTTTTCTCAACTGGAAGCAGAGGAAAAATTAATATCACATAAGGTAAAAGTTTTAAAAGTTATTTTTTTCTAGTTAAATCACAAACATTTGGGTACTGGGTTTGTGATATAAAAAAGGGCTGCTCTCTAAGGGATGATTCTAAACAAAAGATAAGCTAACAAAAATACTCAGAATTGATTACATTCTGCATTTCTCAATATCAGAATTTTATTTTTAGGCAAAATTTTTATTTTATTTCAGTACTGATTTTATTTTAAAATCAAATATATTCTTTCACAATTGCTCTGCTCTTTCACAGTTGCAAAGAATATTGTTTCATACATGCTTGTAGTCCAAAATATGTAATATTTTGAACACTATACAATGAAATTACTATTAAATTACTATTTAAACTGAATCATTTATAAGATGAGCATTGAATAATGCGTATTACATTGCAATATGAATACACACAAACACATTTGCACATCTGTGTTGATTCATCTATATCTACTCATCTATTAATACACACATATAAAAACAATGGATCCTTCTGTGTATAGTAAAACTTAGATCTTGCTAGTATAAATTTTAAATGTAAATATGTCTAATAGAAAGAGGAATTGTAATATCGCAGCAAAGGATATACAGTATTTGTTTTGATTCTGCTATAATGCACAAACATTTGCTTGAAATTTTAAGCAATTTTCCTGTTGTGAAACAGGAAAGATAATTGCCTCTGCTTTTTTCAGTCTCTGGTCTCTACAGTAAACTCTTTTCATGAGACAATCACTTCACTGGAGGAAAAGGCATCCCTCCTGGAGAAAACAGGCAACATAGCCAGTAAGGGAACCATAAGTCGGTCTATGACAACTGTCTGGCAGCGGTGGACCAGACTCAGAAGCATTGCCCAAGAGCAAGAAAGGATTTTGGAAGAATCAGTGCAGAAATGGAATGTATTTAATGATAAGGTATAAGGATAAAGTTTAGTCAATGTCTGTAAATATTTCTAGTAGCCGTTAATGCATCATATCTGTACATTGCATTCATAACGTTAACATTCAAACTGTTTGTATAGAGGTATGCAGAAGGAAGGTAAGATTAGTACACTAGACTAAAACTAAGATTAGTTTTAGCAGAAATACTTTCTGCTATTGTAAAGCATCAATTGTTTTGAGTCCAAATGGTACATTGAAAGACTAGGAAACAAAGAAATGAGTGGTAAATTCCACTTAACAGGTAAGACTCTCGGAACTAACGAAACTTAATTTCAGTATGTCCATATGATTAGTTGAATCTTTTGCATCCTATGATGGAATTTTCAGTCACCATCCCTTATGGAACTCTCTCAGAACCCTAGAGTTTTGTGGAAAGAAAGAGTTGTTTAGACAAACTGGAAGACATTGAAAAATGTATTGAAACATATTTAATGTCTAAGTACAGCATTGCCTGTAAGATTATTATTTTTTTAAAAAATATATGCTTTCCTATAACCCAACCTTCTAATCAACAAAGGTGTCCATTGTAAGTTATAAGTAACTTTAATAATAAGTATATATTTATAAGTATCTTTAGTAATAGATACTATCAGTGTTTCCATGCAATCTTCCTGCTACACTGTAAGGCCATTAATTTATCAAAGGGCAAGCTGCTCAGATCCATCACATTCTAGCTTTGCCTTAGATTCTTTATCTTAAAGTTATACTATCCTCTCCAAAGAAAATTAATGAAGATTTTGGAATCCCATCTGTATTGTAAAGGCATATTCATTGAGGCCAAGATGGTTCATAACAGACCCAGTTTTGTTGGTGCATAATGTGTGGATATTGAATTTGGGAATATTATAGATTATAATGTTACATATACTGTACGTGTGTGTGTGTGTGTGTGTGTGCATGTGTAGTTATGATACCTTTAAAAAAAATAATAGATTGGGTTTTTTGTTTTAAATTATTATCTTTAGATGCAAAAAGCAACAGAGACTCTTGATCAGCTGCATGAACGCTTACCAGAAGGCTCAGTCGAAAAAGCTTCAAAGAATGAACTTCTGGATCTTCTAGATTATCACAGTAATTTCATTCTAGAGCTTGAACAGCAACTATCATCCTTGGGCCTCC